CCTAGAATTTTTTCAGGATTTTCGGACAACTTTTTTAAATCAAAAATTTCTCGAAAGTTCCCCTTATGAAAATTTTGACATTTTTGAAGCACCTTCGATATATAATTAAGACATTTTCTCGGAAATTTCGACTTCTAGAAATGACTTTCTTCGATAGCTTCAACTATTTTTCTAGAATTGCCGATGAGAATTTTTTGGATTTTTTTAATTAAGTACATTTCAAATAGAGAATTTCTAAAATCTTACCCCGGGATCATAAAAACGCTATATTTTTAGAATCAGAACTTCGAAATTTACATCCCAGGATTTTTGAGGAATTTTAGACAACTTGTTCAAAATCAAAATTTTGAAAACTTATCAAAATTTCGAAAATTTTCGACCATTTTTTAACCTATCCAAAGACATTTTCCTGTACTTTTCGTACCATGAAATAGCACATTTTTTATGAGAATTTTTTGATAACATTTTAAAATCAAAATTTTTCAAAAGCTATGAAAATTTCGGAATTTTTCGATCACCTTCTAATTACGACCAATTGAAATTCGCAGACCGGAAGTTTTTTTTTCAATAGATAAAATAAATTTAATAAAATTAATCACTCAATTTTTCAATACTTTAGTTTTGGGATTTTACACTTTTTCGAATCTTCAATTTGTTGATTTTTTTCAATTTTCGATTTCTCGATTTGTCAAGTGTCCGAAATTGCAGTTTTAGGATCTTTCAATTTTTCCATTCTTTTCGATTTCTCGATTAATCGATTTTTCGACTTTTCGATTTCTCGATCTATCATTTTCTCGGTTCCTTAATTTTTCTTCGATTTTTCTGTTTTTCGATATTTCAGTTTCAGGATTTTTTAGTGTTTGATTCTTCAGTTTTCTGATTTTTTAATTCTCATTTTTTTATATTTTAAAATTCTCGATTTTTCGATATTTCAGTTTTAGAATTTTTTAATATTTCAATTCAATTTTTTGATACTTCGATTTCCTCGTTTTTCAATTTTTCGTCATTTTCATTTTTGAAATTTTACATTTTTTTTTTTTCAATTTTTCAGTTTTTTGATTTTTCACGTTTTCATTTTTTTCAGTTTTTTATTCAGCGATTTTCAATTATTCGAGAATTTAGTTTTAGAATTTTTGAATATTTTGGTTCTTCAATTTTTCGATTTTTCGATTTCTGGATTACTTTTTCGATTCTTCGATTTTTTTTCGATTTTTCAATACTTTCAGGATTCTTTTGTTTTTTTTTCAATTTTTAATATCTGGATTTTTCGGTAATTTAATTTTTCGATACTTCAGATTTGGACTTTTTCGATATTTCAATCCCTCAATTTTTTTATGTTACCATTTCTCGGTTTTTAAATTTTAGATTTATTTGATTTTTCGACTTCTCGGTTTTAAATGTTACTTTTTCCAATTTTTGATTTTAAAAATTTTTAATTTTTCCAATACTCAATTTTTCGATACTTCAATTTTGTAATTTTTCAATATTTTGATTCTTCAATTGTTCGATTTTTTAATTTATATTTTTTTCAGTTTTTAATTTCTCGGTCTTTCGATTAACTTTATTTTTCGATACTTCACTTTTGGAATTTTTCAATAAGTATTTCATTTTGTCAATTTTTTGATGTTCCGATTTGTCGATTTTTCAATTTTTCCACATTTTAAAAATTACGCTGCAAATCGAAATCATTATCCCGAGATCTTCGGCCAACTTTTTTAAATCCAGAATGTCTCAAAAGTTCTCCTTATGAAAATTTCGACATTTTTGAAGCATTTTCGATACATAATTTCCTTGGACATTTCGACATCTCAAATTATTCAAATGAAGTATTTCTAAAATCTTGTTCCAGGATCATAAAATACCATATTTTTAGAATCAGAACGTCGAAATTTTATATCCCCCAATTTTTGAGGAATTTTAGACAAATTGTTCAAAACCAAAATTTTGAAAACTTGGAAAAATTTCGGAAATTTTCCACCATCTTCTAAACTTAACCAAAGACATTTTCCTGTACTTTTCGTCCCATGAAATAGCACAATTTTTCTTAATTACATTTCAAATCGAATATTTCTAGCATTTTTTTGTCAATTTTTTGATAACTTTTTTAAAATAAAAATTTCTCAAAACCTATGAAAATTTCGGAATTTTTCGATCACCTTCAAACACTCGCAGACTGGAAGTTCTTTTTTAATAGATAAAATAAATTTAATAAAATGAATCACTCAATTTTTCGATACTTCAGTTTTGATATTTTTCACTTTTTCGAATCTTCAGTTTGTTGATTTTTTTCGATTTCTCGATTTGTCAAGTTTCCGAAATTTCAGTTTTTTGGTTTTTCAGTTTTTGTCGTTCTTAAATTTTGGATTTCTCGATTTCCCGACATTTCGATTTTCCAGTTCTTCCATTTTTTTAGTTATTGATTTTTCGATTTTTCGATTTCTCAATTTTTTTTCAGGATTCAGTTTTTGATTTCTCAGTTTTCTGATTTTTTAATTCTCCGTTTTTTGTATTTTTAAATTCTCGATTTTTCCATTACTTAGTTTTAGAATTTTTCAATATTTCAATTCTTCAATTTTTTAAGGCTTCGATTTGTCGATTTTTCAATGTTTCATTTTTATTTTTAGATTTTGCATGTTTTTTAAATTTTCAGTTTTTAGATTTTTCACGTTTTCAATTCGTCGAATTTTAAAATTTTAGGTTTTTCAATTGTTTGATGTTTCGATTTCTCGATATTTCGATTTTTTGATTTCTCGTCTTCAGAATTTAAGGTTTTTCAATTTATGGATTTTTAGAATTTTTGATTTTTTGATTTTTCCATTTTTTTGTTTTTAAATTTTACGATTTCTAAATTACTCGAGTTTTCCATGCTTCAATTTTTCCTCGATTTTTCACTTTTGCAGTTTTTCAATTTTTTATTCAACGATTTTCAATTATTCGTTACCTCAGTTTTAAAATTTTTGAATATTTTGGTTCTTCAATTTTTCGATTCTTCGATTTTTTTTCGATTTTTCAATGCTTCCAGGATTCGTTAGTTATTTTTTCTTCAATTTTTCAATTACTCGATTTTTTTCAATTTTTAATTTCTTGGATTTTCGATTACCCAATTCTTCGTCAATTTTTTTTGGGCTATTTCGATTTCTCAGTTTTTTTAGTTTTTCGACATTTTAAAAATTACGGTTCAAATCGAAATCAGTATCCCGAAATATATATCCTTGAATTTTTTTCAGGATTTTCGGGCAACTTTTTTAAATCCAAAATTTCTCAAAAGCTCTTCTTATGAAAATTTCGACATTGTTGAAGCATTTTCGGTATATAATTAAGACATTTTCTTGGAAACTTCGACTTCTAGAAACGACTTTCTTCGATAACTCCAACTATATTTCTAGAATTTGGCTGATTGAAATATGAGAGTTTTTTTGATTTTTTTTTTAAATTACATTTCAAAATATTCAAATAAAGTACATATTTCTAAAATTTTGCTCCAGGATCATAAAAACGCTATATTTTTAGAATCAGAACGTCGAAATTTATATCCCGAAATTTTTGAGGAATTTTAGACAACTTGTTGAAAACCAAAATTTCGGAATTTTTCGATCATCTTCTAAACTTAGCGAAATACATTTTCCTGTACTTTTCGGCCATAGAAATAGCAGTTTTTTCAGCAGGTTGAAATCTATATTCCCGAATTTTTTGAGGACTTTTAGATAACTTTTTAAAATCAAAATTTCTCAAAATCTAATTTTCCGATCACCTCCGAATTTTAATCAAAAACATTTTCTTGTCCATTTGGCGCCCAGAAGATACTTTCGGTCCCATTTCTTCGAAAATTCGTACCATTTTTCCAAAATCGTCCACTGAAACGTGACAGTTTTTTGAATTTAAAAAAAAATACATTTCAAATCGAACATTTCTAAAATCTTTATAGCAGCATTTGTTGAATATTTTCAAATAACTTTGATAATATTTCCCTTAGCTATCGCTGAACTATAAATTAATTATACGCATATTGAATTTTTAGCACGAAATAAAACTTTTTTTATCAGTTATCGTCATCATGAAACTGCATTTCCAAACAATAAAAATGAATTTTCAAAATTTGAAAAACTTATATTTATTTTAGTTTAGGAAATAAGTGAAGAATTTTAGTAAAAAAAAAAGTGAAATAGTAGAGTGGAAATATTTGGAGAAGAACTCGACAAATTGTAATGACGCAATATGTTCTTCTCGCGATATTTCCACTCTAACTGTTTACAAATTGGAGCATAATGTTCGCAGGCTCACTGAAAACTCCCGAAGTATCGCTAAGGCTTGCCGAAGTTTTCCGAGCCACTCCTTACGCCTGCCGAAGATTTACGAATGATTCCTGAAACCATATTAATTTCTGTTCCTTGCGTCAGTGAAAATTTGATTTGAAATAATTTTTAAACAAACTTAAAATAAACACAACACAAGGTGACCGTGTTTCCATCAGCAAACACATCTGTAATTTTATTACTCCATGTGTTGCAGCACGATTTTTTCTAATGTCACTTACTTCTGTCCATAAACATAAAAAATCGCTATCAATCTGTTCAAATTCATTCAGTAATAAAACTTTTATGGAAAGTTATGAGCTTTTTATCGCCAGATTAAAAAAAAAACGAGTGTTTAGTTGGTACAGCGCACACTATAAACCCGTCGTATAAATTTAATAAATTTAGTAACGGAATTAATAAAATAAAGTGTCATTTTTTGCTGATTTATGACACCACCGGTACTAATTAACCTGATAAATGATAATCAAGCGGGCAGAAAAAACCGCAACCATCGTCCTGATGTTATCCTCGCGACAATTATCTCCTAATGCGTGATTCAGAGTACCAGAACCACCAGAACCACCTGTACCTGTCCATACCGTCAAACTCTAACCAATAGAGTGCCGTGGGTGTGGTCTAACAAACTTCATCTTGTCGATGGCACCAGACCGAAAGTTTTAGTGGTGTTGGCGATAATATGTTAAGATCTCTAAAATGTAAGAAGTACTTATCGATTTGGTGTGAAATAATGACAAATAATATATAATAAACGTTTAATTTACAAAATACCAGCCTGTGTGTTTATCAAATAAGCATATAGTGTATGATTGACATTTTAAATAGCTTTATGTTTCAATTAATAATGTTAATTTTTTTAATAAATCAAAGTGAGAATTAACTCGTGAAGGTGGATTTGGCGCCATTCATGCGGACGAAAACTGGTAAGATTTTAGGATAATTATTTAGTTGCGGGTGAGTTGGATGGTGCGTCAGACGCGGAACCCATTTTTCTTTGTTTCGGGATAATTCGGGTTTTTTGCGGAGGTGGAGCGGCGGTTTCGTTCGTTCGGATTTTTATGGTGGTCCAAGCTGGGTTTTATTTACCACGGGCTACAAAAAATATCACCGATTCCAATGAAATGTGTAAATAGAAAGAAGCTTCTTGGGGTCGATGTCGCCGTGGTGAGCTCTTCGTCTTGATTTTCTACTTTTCTAGGTCGTGCTTCGTTGCTAAACCTACTTTAGAGGCTAAAAATTCGCAATTCGGGGCCAATAATGAGACATGTTGCGACATTTATGGACTGTGTGTTGGTTAAGTTGTGAATGATTATTCGGGAATTGGTAAAGGCCATTTCACCAAATTATGAACTTTTTTTTGTAGTAGACACATGATTTTTTCTAAGTCGGTGGTTTGTTTCAAATTTAACAGAAAATGCTGCACTTAGGTCATAGTAAAAGTTCTGCGGAAGAGCGACGGAAAGGAGAATCTGTAGGTATTATAATCTAGACTTTTATTTTTTGAAAATTTGTATACGAAGATGTGTTTTAAAGTTTCAATTTTTGAAAATTGATAATCAAATAAGGTTTTTTTTCCTGGTGTAAAAAAATGCAATTCAATTTTTGGCTAGGAAGTTTTTGACAGCGTTAAGAAAAATAATTCAATAATTCTGTTGAATCTGATTTTTCTACATACCTAATACTTATTTCTTGAATCTTGACTGTTAAAGAATGAAACTATTTTCAGTTAAATTTAAAAAAAATCCTCAAAATGGTTCCAATTTATTTATTTGTAAATGCAAACCTTGTGAAAAATACTTCGAAAAAAAAATGTATTTTTTGGACATTCAGTGGCTTGAAGGTGCATAAATACTGAATTTTTTTACTAATTTTTATCAAATTTTAACATATTTTCCCTAGCCCCCCAAAAAGTTTATTTTTGAAGTTAGAATGCGACATTGCCACGTTATTCCAATTTTCTTGAATTTTTTAGCAATGCAAAAGTTCACAAAAAAAATCGCAAACATTTTATTTTTAAGATAGATATGTGTCGCAAAATTTGATGGAGAGATAAACAGAAGTGCGCACTTTGTTCTAGTGTCAATTAAATCAAATTTTAATATACAAAGTGTTTATATAAAAAATTATAAAATGTTACAATTCTTGATGAATCTCTTGAAAAAATAAAAAATCGCAATTACTGTCAATTTTAAATACAGAAAATGCTTAACGAAAAAGAAAAAGAACAAAAAAATAGGGTAATAAAGTACACGGTGTTCTACTTGAAGAAACTGAAATATTGATGTTTGAAAATTGTAATACTTAATCCAATTTTGTATAAACACTCTGTACATTAAAACTCAATTTTATTTATTCAAGAATAAAATAAAATATTGCGATACAGATTTTAAAAGTAACGCTATTACGATTTTTTGTTTGTGAATCCTTCCATTGCTAAGAAATTTCAAAAATGTTGGGATAACGTGGCAACGTCGCGTCCAAATTTCAAAAATAAACTGTGGTAACAGAATACGTAAAAATACACTCTGCAAATATTCGCTTAATTTTTTTTATTAGAAAAACTAAATTTACAAATTTTTGGTGGACAAATAAAAAAATATGTATTATTTTAGAATTAGGATTAGATTTAGAATATTTCTGAAATCTTGCTCCGAAATTATAAAAACACTATTTGTTGGAATCAGCACGTCGAAATCTATATCCCCGAATTTTTGGAGGAATTTTACACAACTTTTTCAAAACCAAAATTTTTCAAAAATTATGAAAACTTTGAAATTTTTCCATCAGCTTCAAAATGTAATTAAACACATTTTCTTGTACATTTGGACCTCCACGATTTACTTCCGATCCTATTTCTTAAAAAATTCGTTCCATTTTTCCCGAATTGCCCATTGAAGTGTGACAGCTTTTTGGATTTAAATAAAAAACTACCCAAAAATTATGAAAATTTCTACTAAAAATATTTTCATTTCGACCTCCAGAAGTTATTGAATTATTGAGTTTTTTGTATTTTTTTTAATTACTTAATTAGAAAGTTTTGCGTTACGGCTTGAAAACAGAACACTTTGTATAGTTGAAAGTAATTTTAATATAATAAAAAAATAAAAATAAGTTTCTAATAATTGATGAGATACCGAGAAGAACGCGTTTAGTAACTCCCTTTATAAATATTTCCATTGTTTTCTTTATATATAAAAAATAAGTTCACAAATTATTTGGAGCACAAAAAAAAAAATATTGTCTTAAATATTCTATTAGAATCCGTAAAAAATCTTTTTTGTTTTAATTATTCTTCTCATTTTGGTGTGGCGTTCTTATTTTAAAAACAAATTCGAGTCAACTAGTCGACTTTTTTTCATGTGGTATAAACGCTTCATACAGGGTGATCTAAAAATGAAGGGAACGCTCGATGGTGCGATGTTACAAAGGCTCAGAAGAATTCGAAAAAAAAATACTAAAAAATCTCTGAAGTAAATTTTTGAAAATTTTTAACTTCAAATCTAAAAAATTAATTTCGTAGTTTTAATATGCGTTAATGTGGATTTAACTGACAGTTTAAAATTTCAAAAATGACTTCTGTCAAGAGTAAAAAATGACATTGTGGGTCGTATTCTTGCAAATTATTATTAAATTATTAATACCTAACTAATTATTTAGCCGTCTATTAGACAATACAGTCCTTTAAAATAAATCAGAATTACGAAGTTAATTCTTGAATTTGATGTATAATACGAGTATATGCATAATTCGGTGCAGGATTTTTTTAACCATTTTTTCCAGTTATTCAAAGCCTTCCTAACAACGTACCATCGACCTTATTGGTCATTTTTTAATCACCCTGTATATACTCATAATTTAATTTATAAGGTAAAAATAAGTTCTCATTTTTTTTTGGTACATTATAAAAAGTTAAGCAGCTAATTTCTTATACGTTACGAAGTAATGTGTTATTTTTAATTTCTTCTGAAGAAAAACGTTAAATTGTTTAAATTATTTTTCTAATTTTGATGTGACGTTCTTCGCTTAGATTGCTCAAACCAATGTTTTTGTTTTAAAAGTTATTTACAAAATTTCTGCTCACTCAAAACATTTTGCAAACTAAAATAAAGATGTACCAAAATTATGGAGCAATATTTATTTTTCATGGATGTGAACATGTGTGGTACGAGTTGAAAGCGAATGCTGCAGTTCCGTATTTATAGGTTCTATATGAACATCACGCATATTTTTCCAGGGCTGAGTCTATGACATACTGCCCACAATATTTTATCAGTTTCCAAATTTGGTTCTGTTAGGAGCGGCGTTCTTAGTAATGTCTAATTTTAATCTAGCGTAGGTTAAACACATTTCTTTTATATTATTATTTTTTTTCTCTAACTGTTCATGTCAGCATAATATTTTTTTATGTTCCATATGATCAATAAAAAAATCGTCTACCACCCATTGAAATTTAATGCTAAAAAATTATGTTGGTAGCACTAGTGCATTCCTTGTTCGGTTTGACAGCCATGGGCGAAGAACTGTCAAATAAACTGTCATATAGCCGTAATGCCAACATCCTTATTTTAAAAACAATTTTTTTTTTCGTTTAGTATTAACAATTTATACAGAGTGATTTAAATATGATGATGGCTTAATTAAGAAATTGTTAAAATCCAAAAATTCCGACAAAAATTGCAATTGTCTATGAAACATGCAATTCATTAAAACAAATCAGAATTACAAAGTAAATTTTTCAAATCGAGAAGTACAATATATGTAAAAGTTTAGAGCACGGATTTTTTTAACCACTTTTTCCGAGTTTTTCATAGTTTTCTTAACAACGTACCATCGAGCTTATACGGTTTTTTTATCATCCTGTATATGCTCATAATTTTCTTTATAATTTCAAAAAATATATCTACTTTAATTTTATAATGTACAAAAAAAAATGAGAATTTTTTTTTTTTGTAAATTATAAAATTAAAGACTATTTTTTGAAACCTGAAATATACGTTATGAAGTAATATATTGATTAATTTTAATTTATCCTGAAGAAAAATATTAAATATTTTTTTTAGAATCCATAAAAAATATTTTGTTGAAATTATTGTTCTAATTTTGGTGTGACGTTTTTCCGTTAGACGTCCATGTCAGCATATTTTTTTTAAATGCCATATTATCGATAAATAATTTAGCATCCATTTAAATTTAATTCTTAAAAAATTGTGTTGGCTACACCAACGCGTCATTGTCAAAATACTGTCAAATAAACTGTCATATAGCTGCAATGCCAACATCCTCACTTTCAAAACGAATTCCATGGACTACTAGACGACTTTTTTGCCATATTGTCTAAACACGTCATACAGGTGATTTAAAAATGACGCAAAAGCTCGATGGACGTTGTTAAGAAGACTCTGAAGAATTCGAAAAAAATATATTAAAACAATCTATCAACGAAATTTTTGAGAATATTAAGTCTCAAAGCTGAAGAATTAACTTTGACGGTCTAAAATTCCGCTAAAAATAGTCAAAAATGACATTTCTCAACAGTAAAAAATGACATTGCGGCTCGTATTCTAGCCAGTTATTTTTAAATTATTCATAACTAATTATTTAACTGTCTATTAGATGCGCATGAAGACAAATCAGAATAACTTTTAATTGTTCAACTTTGAAGTTTAATATTTTCAAAAGTTTAGACACAGGATTTTTTAAACTATTTTTTCAGTTCTTTAGGGCCTTCTTAACAACATCCCATCGAGCGTATCCGTAATTTTTTTTATATGGAAAAAGTTTCCAATCTTTTTTTGTAAACTATAAAAAAATAAAGCAGCTATATGTTTTGAAAACCTGAAAGATACGTTACGTAGTAACATATTTTTATCATAAACCAGTGTTTTCATTTTAAAAATGATTTGCAAAATGTCTTACCTACTCA